AATTATTCAGACCCCTTGACTTTTTTCACATTTTGTAACAACCTTGTTCTAAAATTGATTAAATTCTTTTTTTCCCCCCTAATCAATCTACACACAATACCCCATAATGACAAAGCAAAAACAGATTTTTAGAAATGTTCGCAAATGTATTACAAATAAAAACTGAAATATTACATTTACATAAGTATTCAGACCCTTTACTCAGTACTTTGTTGAAGCACCTTTGGCAGCGATTACAGCCTCAGGTCTTCTTGGGTATGACGCTACAAGCTTGGCACACCTGTATTTGGGGAGTTTCTCCCATTCTTCTCTGCAGATCCTCTCAAGCTCTGTCAGGTTGGATGGGGAGCGTTGCTGCACAGCTATTTTCAGGTCTCTCCAGAGATGTTCGATCGGGTTCCGGTCTCTGGCTGGGCTACTCAAGGACATTCAGAGACTTTTCCCGAAGCCACTCTTGCGTTGTCTTGGCTGCGTGCTTTGGGTCGTTGTCCTGTTGGAAGGTGAATCTTCACCCAGTATGAGGTCCTGAGCGATCTGGAGCAGGTTTTCATCAAGGATCTCTGTACTTTGCTCCGTTCATCTTTGCCTCGAGCCTGACTAGTCTCCCAGTCCCTGCCGCTGAAAAAGCATCCCCACAGGAAGAGTTGGTGGTTCCAAACTTCTTCCATCTAAGAATGATGGAAGCCACTGTGTTCTTGAGGACCTTCAATACTGCAGAAAATTCCTTCAACCTCATGGCTTGGTTTTTGCTCTGACATGCACTGTCAACTGTGGGACATTATATAGACAGGTGTGTGCCTTTCCAAATCATGTCCAATCCATTTAATTTACCACAGATGGACTCAAATCAAGTTGTAGAAACATCTCAAGGATGATCAATGGAAACAGGATGCACCCAAGCCCAATTTCGAGTCTCATAGCAAAGGGTCTGAATACTTATGTAAATAAGGTATCCGTTTTTTGTTTTTTATACATTGCAAACATTTCTATTTGCTTTGTCATGATGGGGTATTGTGTGTAGATTGATTGCTGAGGGGGAAAAAATATACTTTCTGAATACTTTCCGAAGGCACCATCTATTGTCAATCGCCCATAAGTTTGAAAATAATAGAGATATGATTTTTAGGCCAAATCGCCCAGTCCTACCCAAACTCCCAGGTTTTCCAGAAGTCCTGGTTAGAAGATTCCTGGAATCAGAAGGGAATAAGCAGAAAATCCTCACTCCTCCAACCAGGGTTTCTGGAAAGCCTGGGAATGTTACCAGAATTATACAACCTTACATGGATGACTGGACTATTGGCATAGCTAGTTTACTCAATCAGTAAATAACACAGGAGGAAATGGAAAGATTTGATTTGGGAATTAAAAGGAGAAAAAAAAGATAAAAGAAGGGAAGTGCTGCTGGGATACAACCGTAGAACTTTGTAGGTAAAAGGTGCTCTTTGTGAATGGGGTTAAATAGTCATAAAAAATTTTTTTTGACCAAGGCACTCTTCATATAATTAGTTTAAAATGCCTTTATCTTGGTAATGTTCAGTAAAACCAAAGGTTTACAACTCTGACACGTTTCGGCAGCATGGCCTTCGTCAGGGAGTAACAATTGAAGAGTACATTGGCCCATTTTGATTTTTAAAGTAGAAACAGATTGAAAACCTCCAAAGAGAAACAAACAGAAAGAAAAACAGGTCAAAGGACAATAAATGTCATGCAGGAAAAGGTAGAGAGAAACCCTTAATGTGGTATGAGGCCATGCGAGAATCAATGGACAGGACCTAATCCCCTTCCCTGCCTTCCAGTGGACAGGACGGGACCCAATCCCCCTGCCTGCCTTCCAGTGGAGAGGACATCCCCCTGCCTGCCTTCCAGTGGACAGGACATCCCCCTGCCTGCCTTCCAGTGGACAGGACGGGACCCAATCCCCCTGCCTGCCTTCCAGTGGAGAGGACATCCCCCTGCCTGCCTTCCAGTGGACAGGACATCCCCCTGCCTGCCTTCCAGTGGACAGGACATCCCCCTGCCTGCCTTCCAGTGGACAGGACGGGACCCAATCCCCCTGCCTGCCTTCCAGTGGAGAGGACATCCCCCTGCCTGCCTTCCAGTGAGAGGACATCCCCCTGCCTGCCTTCCAGTGGACAGGACATCCCCCTGCTGCCTTCCAGTGGACAGGACGGGACCCAATCCCCCTGCCTGCCTTCCAGTGGAGAGGACATCCCCCTGCCTGCCTTCCAGTGGAGAGGACATCCCCCTGCCTGCCTTCCAGTGGACAGGACATCCCCCTGCCTGCCTTCCAGTGGACAGGACATCCCCCTGCCTGCCTTCCAGTGGACAGGACGGGAACCCAATCCCCCTGCCTGCCTTCCAGTGGAGAGGACATCCCCCCTGCCTGCCTTCCAGTGGAGAGGACATCCCCCTGCCTGCCTTCCAGTGGACAGGACATCCCCCTGCCTGCCTTCCAGTGGACAGGACATCCCCCTGCCTGCCTTCCAGTGGACAGGACGGGACCCAATCCCCCTGCCTGCCTTTCAGTGGAGAGGACATCCCCCTCCTTGCCTTCCAGTGGACAGGACATCCCTCTCCTTGCCTTCCAGTGGACAGGACGGGACCCAATCCCCCTCCCTGCCTTCCAGTTGACAGGACGGGACCCAATCCCCCTCCCTGCCTTCCAGTTGACAGGAATAACCTAAAACTGGTGTGAGAAGAAGGAATAAGTAGGAAAAAGTTTGACGAACGGGTGGGAAGAGCAGCAACCCCCCCCATGCCAAAAAACCCACGAGCCCTACCTTTGACCCTGTCCATTACCCAACATGCACAGCTCTACCCTGAAACCCCCTGTCCGTGTCCGCTAAGATTACCCATCATCATGCACAGCTAACACTGACCCCTGCCCCTGTCCGTGGACGGCCCAGCATGCATTGCAAAGCGTACCTGAGAGGTGATCCGATGATGGAAGAGGGGGGCGTGGGGTTACTTCCTGCGTTGTGCCGTCGCCGCACCGCCTGGCGACGGAACTTGATCGTGTCCTCACTTCCGGGGGCTGCGGAGGAGGAAGAGAGCGCAGTGGGAGGAGTCAGCAACATGGCCGACTGACCACCTGACCAAGACCATGTGTGCGTTCCAAATAGCACCCTATTCCCTATATAGTGCACTACTTTTGACCAGGGCCAATAGGGTACCATTTCAGACACAGCCCAAACCACCACTAATTTGAGAAAACTAGAACTCCCTGTCTGGCAGCAAGCAGTCAGCAATAAGACCATATTAACCTGTCTGGCAGCAAGCAGTCAGCAATAAGACCATATTAACCTGTCTGGCAGCAAGCAGTCAGCAATAAGACCATATTAACCTGTCTGGCATGTCAGCAATAAGACCATATTAACCTGTCTGGCAGCAAGCAGTCAACAATAAGACCATATTAACCTGTCTGGCATGTCAGCAGTCAGCAATAAGACCACATTAACCTGTCTGGCAGCAAGCAGTCAGCAATAAGACCATATTAACCTGTCTGGCAGCAAGCAGTCAACAATAAGACCATATTAACCTGTCTGGCAGCAAGCAGTCAACAATAAGACCATATTAACCTGTCTGGCAGCAAGCAGTCAGCAATAAGACCACATTAACCTGTCTGGCATGTCAGCAGTCAGCAATAAGACCACATTAACCTGTCTGGCAGCAAGCAGTCAGCAATAAGACCATATTAACCTGTCTGGCATGTCAGCAATAAGACCATATTAACCTGACTGGCATGTCAGCAGTCAGCAATAAGACCATATTAACCTGTCTGGCAGCAAGCAGTCAGCAATAAGACCATATTAACCTGTCTGGCAGCAAGCAGTCAACAATAAGACCATATTAACCTGTCTGGCAGCAAACAGTCAGCAATAAGACCACATTAACCTGTCTGGCAGCAAGCAGTCAACAATAAGACCATATTAACCTGTCTGGCAGCAAGCAGTCAGCAATAAGACCATATTAACCTGTCTGGCATGTCAGCAGTCAGCAATAAGACCATATTAACCTGTCTGGCATGTCAGCAATAAGACCATATTAACCTGTCTGGCAGCAAGCAGTCAGGCAATAAGACCATATTAACCTGTCTGGCAGCAAGCAGTCAGGCAATAAGACCATATTAACCTGTCTGGCATGTCAGCAATAAGACCATATTAACCTGTCTGGCAGCAAGCAATCAGCAATAAGACCATATTAACCTGTCTGGCATGTCAGCAGTCAGCAATAAGACCATATTAACCTGTCTGGCATGTCAGCAGTTAGCAATAAGACCATATTAACCTGTCTGGCATGTCAGCAATAAGACCATATTAACCTGTCTGGCAGCAAGCAGTCAGGCAATAAGACCATATTAACCTGTCTGGCAGCAAGCAGTCAGGCAATAAGACCATATTAACCTGTCTGGCATGTCAGCAATAAGACCATATTAACCTGTCTGGCAGCAAGCAATCAGCAATAAGACCATATTAACCTGTCTGGCATGTCAGCAGTCAGCAATAAGACCATATTAACCTGTCTGGCATGTCAGCAGTTAGCAATAAGACCATATTAACCTGTCTGGCAGCAAGCAGTCAGCAATAAGACCATATTAACCTGTCTGGCAGCAAGCAGTCAGCAATAAGACCATATTAACCTGTCTGGCATGTCAGCAGTCAGCAATAAGACCATATTAACCTGTCTGGCATGTCAGCAGTCAGCAATAAGACCATATTAACCTGTCTGGCAGCAAGCAGTCAGCAATAAGACCATATTAACCTGTCTGGCATGTCAGCAGTCAGCAATAAGACCATATTAACCTGTCTGGCATGTCAGCAGTCAGCAATAAGACCATATTAACCTGTCTGGCATGTCAGCAGTCAACAATAAGACCATATTAACCTGTCTGGCAGCAAGCAGTCAGCAATAAGACCATATTAACCTGTCTGGCAGCAAGCAGTCAGCAATAAGACCATATTAACCTGTCTGGCAGCAAGCAGTCAGCATAAGACCATTAACCGTTGGAGCAGCAGTCAGCAATAAGACCATATTAACCTGTCTGGCATGTCAGCAGTCAGCAATAAGACCATATTAACCTGTCTGGCATGTCAGCAATAAGACCATATTAACCTGTCTGGCAGCAAGCAGTCAACAATAAGACCATATTAACCTGTCTGGCAGCAAGCAGTCAGCAATAAGACCATATTAACCTGTCTGGCAGCAAGCAGTCAGCAATAAGACCATATTAACCTGTCTGGCATGTCAGCAGACAGCAATAAGACCATATTAACCTGTCTGGCAGCAAGCAGTCAGCAATAAGACCATATTAACCTGTCTGGCAGCAAGCAGTCAGCAATAAGACCATATTAACCTGTCTGGCATGTCAGCAGTCAGCAATAAGACCATATTAACCTGTCTGGCAGCAAGCAGTCAACAATAAGACCATATTAACCTGTCTGGCAGCAAGCAGTCAACAATAAGACCATATTAACCTGTCTGGCAGCAAGCAGTCAGCAAAAAGACCATATTAACCTGTCTGGCAGCAAGCAGTCAACAATAAGACCATATTAACCTGTCTGGCAGCAAGCAGTCAACAATAAGACCATATTAACCTGTCTGGCAGCAAGCAGTCAACAATAAGACCATATTAACCTGTCTGGCATGTCAGCAGTCAGCAATAAGACCATATTAACCTGTCTGGCAGCAAGCAGTCAACAATAAGACCATATTAACCTGTCTGGCAGCAAGCAGTCAGCAATAAGACCATATTAACCTGTCTGGCATGTCAGCAATCAACAATAAGACCATATTAACCTGTCTGGCAGCAAGCAGTCAGCAATAAGACCATATTAACCTGTCTGGCAGCAAGCAGTCAGCAATAAGACCATATTAACCTGTCTGGCAGCAAGCAGTCAGCAATAAGACCATATTAACCTGTCTGGCAGCAAGCAGTCAGCAATAAAGACCATATTAACCTGTCTGGCATGTCAGCAGTCAGCAATAAGACCATATTAACCTGTCTGGCAGCAAGCAGTCAGCAATAAGGACCACATTAACCTGTCTGGCAGCAAGCAGTCAGCAATAAGACCATATTAACCTGTCTGGCAATAAGACCGTATTAACCTGTCTGGCAGCAAAGCAGTCAGCAATAAGACCATATTAACCTGTCTGGCAGCAAGCAGTCAGCAATAGACCATATTAACCTGTCTGGCATGTCAGCAGTCAGCAAATAAGACCAATAAACCTGTCTGGCAGCAAGCAGTCAGCAATAAGACCATATTAACTGTCTGGCATGTCAGCAGTCAGCAATAAGACCATATTAAACCTGTCTGGCATGTCAGCAGTCAGCAATAAGACCATATTAACCTGTCTGGCAGCAAAGCAGTCAGCAATAAGACCACATTAACTGTCTGGCAGCAAGCAGTCCAGCAATAAGACCATATTAACCTGTCTGGCAGCAAGCAGTCAGCAATAAGACCATATTAACCTGTTCTGGCAGCAAGCAGTCAGCAATAAGACCATATTAACCTGTCTGGCAGCAAGCAGTCAGCAATAAGACCATATTAACCTGTCTGGCAGCAAGCAGTCAGCAATAAGACCATATTAACCTGTCTGGCATGTCAGCAGTCAGCAATAAGACCATATTAACCTGTCTGGCAGCAAGCAGTCAGCAATAAGACCACATTAACCTGTCTGGCAGCAACAGTCAGCAATAAGACCATATTAACATGTCTGGCAGCAAGCAGTCAGCAATAAGACCATATTAACCTGTCTGGCAGCAAGCAGTCAGCAATAATACCATATTAACCTGTCTGGCAGCAAGCAGTCAGCAATAAACCATATTAACCTGTCTGGCAGCAAGCAGTCAGCAATAAGACCATATTAACCTGTCTGGCAGCAAGCAGTCAGCAATAAGACCATATTAACCTGTCTGGCAGCAGCAGTCAGCAATAAGACCATATTAACCTGTCTGGCAGCAGCAGTCAGCAATAAGACCATATTAACCTGTCTGGCAGCAAGCAGTCAGCAATAAGACCACATTAACCTGTCTGGCATGCAGAAGTCAGCAATAAGACCATATTAACCTGTCTGGCATGTCAGCAGTCAGCAATAAGACCAATTAACCTGTCTGGCAGTCAGCAGTCAGCAATAAGACCACATTAACCTGTCTGGCAGCAAGCAGTCAGCAATAAGACCAATTAACCTGTCTGGCAGTCAGCAGTCAGCAATAAGACCACATTAACCTGTCTGGCAGCAAGCAGTCAGCAATAAGACCATATTAACCTGTCTGGCAGCAAGCAGTCAGCAATAAGACCATATTAACCTGTCTGGCAGCAAGCAGTCAGCAATAAGACCATATTAACCTGTCTGGCATGTCAGCAGTCAGCAATAAGACCACATTAGCCTGTCTGGCAGCAAGCAGTCAGCAATAAGACCACATTAACCTGTCTGGCAGCAAGCAGTCAGCAATAAGACCACATTAACCTGTCTGGCAGCAAGCAGTCAGCAATAAGACCATATTAACCTGTCTGGCAGCAAGCAGTCAGCAATAAGACCATATTAACCTGTCTGGCAGCAAGCAGTCAGCAATAAGACCATATTAACCTGTCTGGCAGCAAGCAGTCAGCAATAAGACCATATTAACCTGTCTGGCAGCAAGCAGTCAGCAATAAGACCATATTAACCTGTCTGGCATGTCAGCAATAAGACCATATTAACCTGTCTGGCAGCAAGCAGTCAGCAATAAGACCATATTAACCTGTCTGGCAGCAAGCAGTCAACAATAAGACCATATTAACCTGTCTGGCATGTCAGCAGTCAGCAATAAGACCATATTAACCTGTCTGGCAGCAAGCAGTCAGCAATAAGACCATATTAACCTGTCTGGCAGCAAGCAGTCAACAATAAGACCATATTAACCACAGTGATTTAGAAAACACTGACACCCTTACGACGACTTGACCAAGGCCACGTCGGTAGTAACATTGTGATTGAATCACCCAAGCTAAGCTCTAGTAAAATATCACATTCGGGAGCAAAACGTTGTGATTCATTTACACTACCGGTCGAAAGTTTTAGAACACCTACTCATTCAAGGGTTTTTCTTTATTTTTACTATTTTCTACATTGTAGAATAATAGTGAAGACATCAAAACTATGAAATAACACATATGGAATCATGTGGTAATCAGAAAAGTGTTAATCAAAATATATTTTATATTCGAGATTCTTCAAAGTAGCCACCCTTTGCCTTGACAGCTTTGCACACTCTTGGCAAAGGGTGGCTACTTTGAAGAATCTAACATATAAAATATATTTTGATTTGTTTAACACTTTTTTGGTTACTACATGATTCCATATGTGTTTTCTCATAGTTTTGATGTCTTCACTATTATTCTACAATGTAGAAAATAGTAAAAATAAAGAAAAACCCTTGAATGAGTAGGTGTGTCCAAACTTTTGACTGGTACTGTATGTGTGGAAGCCAGGAGATGTTAATTAATGGTCAACTACCGTGAGACCGACAGTTAATTGCTTGACAATCACTGGCTGACGAAATTTCATGACTGCCACAGACCTAGTTGTCACTAAATTAGATTAATTTGATGTGTGTGTGTGTGTCTCATTTGTATGCCGAATTTCATTTTGAGCAGGGAGTACATGATTCTGATTGCTGTGTTTCATTTTGCAAGATGTCTGTGGGGTTTTGGGGAAATTGGCTAACTGTTTCGTGTTTTGAGTACATGAGATGTAGTTTCAGCAAACGTGTTAACAATTGGGAAAAATCTGTAAAAGATCATCTTTGGGAGTAGCATAAAAGTGAGCGGACATATCCTTTTATTTATGTGTCAGCATGACTGGCAGCGTCGCTGCTTAGAGAACGCTAGGCCGGAGCGTCACTGGGCCTCACTAGGCCGGAGCGTCACTGGGCCTCACTAGGCCGGAGCGTCACTGGGCCTCACTCCAACTTGCGCACCAGCAGACGCACTTCCTTAGGCCTGTAGTTCAATAGGTGGCCCACTGGCCAAATTCAGCCTGCGGGTGATTTATTTGCCCCCCCCAAGATTTATTTCCGTTGTTGGACATGAAAGACTGTAAAATCACCAGGAAATCAGCTCAAAGTGAAAAGACCCAGCTCAGCGGCAAACCAAACCAGGCTGTCCACTCACTGTCAACCTTGGCAGACAGGCCAACCCAGACACACCTAGACTCTGGTGACCCAGGTCTAAACTGGTTCCCAGCTGGGTGAACACAATACCCAGGTCTAAACTGGTTCCCAGCTGGGTGAACACAATACCCAGGTCTAAACTGGTTCCCAGCTGGGTGAACACAATACCCAGGTCTAAACTGGTTCCCAGCTGGGTGAACACAATACCCAGGTCTAAACTGGTTCCCAGCTGGGTGAACACAATACCCAGCACCCAATACCACGATTCACAAAAGACCCACAAATGACCACGCCCACAGGACAGGGAAAACTAAGACCGACTCCAATAGGCAAATGGCCAACTAAGACCGACTCCGATAGGCAAATGGCCAACTAAGACCGACTCCGAAAGGCAAATGGCCAACTAAGACCGACTCCGATAGGCAAATGGCCAACTAAGACCGACTCCAATAGGCAAATGGCCAACTAAGACCGACTCCGATAGGCAAATGGCCAACTAAGACCGACTCCGATAGGCAAATGGCCAACTAAGACCGACTCCGATAGGCCAACCCATTGCCAAATGGCCAACCCATTACCAGTTAGTTACTTAATAAAGAGAATCAAAGTGGCAAGAGTGAGATCACATTGTAAAGCTACAATACAGAGACACTGGTGTTTAGAGACAGTTACTGCTGACCTGACTGGTGAGACAGTTACTGCTGACCTGACTGGAGAGACAGTTACTGCTGACCTGACTGGTGAGACAGTTACTGCTGACCTGACTGGTGAGACAGTTACTGCTGACCTGACTGGAGAGATGGGGTGAGACAGTTACTTCTGACCTGACTGGAGAGACAGTTACTGCTGACCTGACTGGTGAGACAGTTACTGCTGACCTGACTGGAGAGATGGGGTGAGACAGTTACTGCTGACCTGACTGGTGAGACAGTTACTGCTGACCTGACTGGAGAGATGGGGTGAGACAGTTACTGCTGACCTGACTGGAGAGACAGTTACTGCTGACCTGACTGGTGAGACAGTTACTGCTGACCTGACTGGAGAGATGGGGTGAGACAGTTACTGCTGACCTGACTGGAGAGACAGTTACTGCTGACCTGACTGGTGAGACAGTTACTGCTGACCTGACTGGAGAGACAGTTACTGCTGACCTGACTGGAGAGACAGTTACTGCTGACCTGACTGGTGAGATGGGGTGAGACAGTTACTGCTGACCTGACTGGTGAGACAGTTACTGCTGACCTGACTGGTGAGATGGGGTGAGACAGTTACTGCTGACCTGACTGGAGAGACAGTTACTGCTGACCTGACTGGTGAGACAGTTACTGCTGACCTGACTGGTGAGACAGTTACTGCTGACCTGACTGGTGAGACAGTTACTGCTGACCTGACTGGTGAGACAGTTACTGCTGACCTGACTGGTGAGACAGTTACTGCTGACCTGACTGGTGAGACAGTTACTGCTGACCTGACTGGTGAGACAGTTACTGCTGACCTACGGACAGACAACGCACACACTGTCCTAACATGCTAATGGTGACTAACTACACAGGGAAGGATCCCTACGCCTGGCCTGGGTCTAGTTCGTCTGTAAACTGTGGCTCCATGGGAACTTGCCATGGCAACCATACATGAGCAGGGCAGAGCAGACAGCCAATAGAGGTGTGGGTTCTAATACGTGTTAGAGAAACTAGAGACATACAGTGCCTTGGGAAAGTATTCAGACCCCTTCCCTTTTTCCACATTTTGTTACGTTACAGCCTTATTCTAAAATGGATTCAATTATAATTTTTTCTCATCAATCTACACACAATGACAAAGTGAAAACAGGTTTTTAGAAATGGTTTGCTAATTTATTACAAATAAAAAACAGAAATACCGTATTTACATAAGTATTCAGACCCTTTGCTATGAGACTCGAAATTGAGCTCAGGTGCATCCTGTTTCCATTGATCATCCTTGAGATGTTTCTACAACTTGATTGGAGTCCACCTGTGGTAAATTCAATTGATTGGACATGATTTGGAAAGGCACACACCTGTCTATATAATGTCCCACAGTTGGCAGTGCATGTCAGAGCAAAAACCAAGCCATGAGGTCGAAGGAACCCTGGATACCCACCTAACCATAACCCTGGATACCCACCTAACTATAACCCTGGATACCCACCTCACTAAAAACCCGGATACCCCTCACTATAACCCTGGATCCCACCACTTAACCTGGATACCCCAACAATAACCCTGTAACCTCACTAAACCCTGGTACCACCTCACTAACCATGGATACCCACCTAACTATAACCCTGGATACCCACCTCACTATAACCCTGGATACCCACCTCACTATAACCCTGGATACCCACCTCACTATAACCCTGGATACCCCCTAAACTTTTAAACCTGGATACCCACCTAAATATAACCCGGATACCAACCTAACTATAAAACCCTGATACCCACCTAAAATAACCTGGATACCCACCTCACTATAACCATGGATACCCACCTAACTATAACCCTGGATACCAACCTAACTATAACCATGGATACCAACCTAACTATAACCATGGATAACCACCTAACTATAACCATGGATACCCACCTAACTATAACCCTGGATACCAACCCAAATTAACCATTAAACCCACCTAACTATAAACCCTGGATACCACCTAACATACCCTGGATAAACCCCCCTAAAATATAACCTGGATACCAACCTAACTATAACCATGGAAACCCACCTAACTATAACCATGGAAACCCACCTAACTATAACCCTGGATACCCACCTAACTATAACCATGGATACCCACCTCGTGAGGAGCTGGCAGTGGTAGCATCCTGAGGCTCTGAAGAAAAGGCTGTCTGGCTGGGTAGACTGTTTCTGGACCTGGTCACTGATTCCAGCTGTGAGGCCCTTCCCAATAGGGAGGCAGCATCCAGGACATCCCCCTCTTTGGCTTCCAGGTCAGATTTGGAGGTGGTGAGGGGTCGGGGCCCGGCGGCAGGAGCCCTGAGGCGGTGGGGCTCGTTAAGGTAGGCGGACGCCGCCTTGCCGCTGTCCAGGCTCAGCACCCGGGCGTGGGTTTTGGCGCTGCCCGTGCTGGGGGTCCGGTGAGAGGTGCGGCGCTTGCCTCCTCTTCCGGCCCGCCCCCCTCCTCCCTCAGATCTGGCCTGGGCTTTTTGTGATGAGGACATGGAGGCTGTGGCAGCAGAATTGTGGGAGTGGCTGTGGGAGTGACTGTGCTTGGCTTTCAGGGCGCCGTAGCGTCTCTCGGGGGAGTGGCAGGAGTGGGATGTGGTTGAGGAGGAGGAGTCAGTGCTGAAGTGGTGTGATTGGGTGGATCGGAGAGAGGAAGCACAGCTCAGCTCGCTCCCGTCACTCCACTCCTCCTCCCCACCGGCGAATACCGCACTGTGCGGCTTGGACATGCCACGCAATGACATGTAGTCCCGGTGGCGGCTGGCGTCAAAGCTGCTCGTCCGTTTCTTACCGGTCTGCCGGCGCCCGCTGCTGCGCCCGGCTGCACCAGAGGAGGAAGTAGTTTGTTGGACCTCCCCTTTCTCTCCTCTCTCCCCGTCCTGTTCCCTGCTGGCTGTGCAGGCCGAGCCGTCTGCACTGGTCATCATACTACTGCTGCAGGGGGAGTCTGCTGGGGCTGGGCGCTCCTGGGCCGGGGAGTCTGCTGGGGCTGGGCGCTCCTGGGCCGGAGGGTCTGCTGGGGCTGGGCGCTCCTGGGCCGGGGAGTCTGCTGGGGCTGGGCGCTCCTGGGCCGGGGAGTCTGCTGGGGCTGGGCGCTCCTGGGCCGGGGAGTCTGCTGGGGCTAGTGGGTCCTGGGCCGGGACTGGGGGGTTGGGGTTAGAGGGGGACGTGGCGGAGGAGGAGGAGGGTTGTTTGGCTGTCAGCTCGTTGGCATGGGGGTTCTTATTGGCCTCCCTGGAAGGCAGGAGGCTGCTCAGCCCTCTGGAGCTCAGGCCGGACCCCAGACTAGAAGTCCTGCCATCCCCCATAGAGATGGGCCCGGGCCCAGCAGCAGCAGCCTCCCCTCCACCACCACCACCTCCCCACTCCCTCCCGGCCCCAGCCCCGCACTGCTCGCCCCCCGACAGGCAGAGTAAACGCTCTACATGGCTGTGGAAGCTGCTGACGGTGCTGTTGGTGTCTCTGTCCGTGCCGCCGCTGCAGTAACTCTCTGTAGAGCCGCTGCTGCGTGAGCTCAGGCTGCGGAGACTGTCTGCACTGACCTTCCCTCCTCCTCCTCCTCCTCCTCCTCCACCCACACGCCCCCCACCACCCTGGTCCGTCTGGTATAGAGCCTCCCCTGCCAGCCCTAGCCTGCAGAAGTCCTGCTGGTGTCTGTAGCAGTCTGTGGAGCAGCCAGAGGTGGAAGTGGAGGCCTGGTCCTGATGCTGGTCGAGTCTCTCAGCCCCCTCCATGTCCCCCTGGCCCTGTCCTCCAGCCTCAGCCCCTGGCCAGTGGGGTCTGGCAGATTCCAGCTCACACACTGGGTCCAGGCCCCCTTTCCGGGGCGGGGGGTAGAGGCTAAAGTCAGCTGAAGGCAGTGAGGGGTCGGTGAAGGCTGATCCGGCAGAGCTGGAGGTGCGGGGCAGGCCCCGGGTCCGTGGCTCCTTCCTGAAGGACTGAGAGTGCAAGCCAGGGGCGTGGGACGACACCTCTGTGTCGCAGAAGGACAGGGATTGGCTGAAAGGGTGGGAGGCGGCGCTACAGAGGTCGGCGGGGTCGCGGGACAGCTCGGGGGGGCCCAGGGAGGTGGAGGGCTGCATGGAGGCGAAGGAGTGGTTGGAGACAAGGCAGTAGATCTTTGGGTCAGACATCATGTCTGGAGGGGAGAAGGAGTAAAGGAGATCAGTGAAATTAGTGAAGGTCTGTTCTCAGTGATAATTAAGTGAAATTAGTGAGGGCTTCCCCACTTCTCCTCCTGTACACAGAAAAATACAGAGAAAGACAGAGGGGTTGAGAGAGAGAGACGGAGGAGAGAGAGCGACGAGGGGTGGAGAGAGAGAGACGGAGGGGTGGAGAGAGAGCGACGAGGGTGGAGAGAGTAGAGACGGAGGGGTGGAGAGAGAGCGGAGGGGTGGGAGAGAGAGACGAGGGTGGAGAAGAGAGGCAGAGGGTGAGAGAGAGAGGCGTGGGTGGAGAGAGAGAGACGGAGGGGTGAAGAGAGTAGAAGGGGGTGTGAGAGAGAGACGGAGGGGTGAGAAATGACGTGTGTTGGGTGAGTAACGAGTGGGGAGACGCTGGTAGAAAGGGGTGGATGGGTCTGAGCATCTGATGTGAGATGACCGTATGTGTGATTGCAGAGTTAAGTCAGTTGTGGATGCCTGTTGAGTGCTGTGAACATTGGCTACGGTTGGTAGCCCGTGATAGGCTTTCGCAGATCTCGGGTTTCGTCTGGTGGTGAGATGTGACGGGTTCATTCGGCTGTTAGACAGAGGGGAGGGAGTTAGACGAGAACGACGGTGAGAGAGAGACGATAAGGGTGGAGCAAGGAGAACAGAGGGTGGAAAGAGAAGACAGAGAGAGATAGTAAAGGGGAAGGAGGACGAGGGTGGGAAGGAACGGAGGGAGAGACGAGAAGGAGAACAGAGGGAGTAGAGAGAGGAGACAGAAGGAGACAGAGACAACAGGAGAAAAGACCGAGGTGGAGAAGAGGGAGAGACAATGAGAGAGAGAGAAGAGACAAGGGTGGAAGAATAGAGAGACAGAGAAGGGGGGAGAGAGGAGACAAAAGAAGGTGGAGAGAGAGATAGACATAGGGAAAAGACAGAGAGACAGAGAACAGGGAGAACGGACAAGGGAGAGGACAGAGAAAAAAGGGAAACAAGAACCGGAAACAGGGGGAAACCCGGGAGACAGGACAGGGGAAGACAGAACACGGGGAGAGAAAGAACCGGAGAGACAGAAACAGGGAGGCAGAGCCACAGGGAGAGACAGGCCGGGACAGAACACAGGGAGAGACGAGCCAGGGAGGACAGAGACACAGGGGGGAACGAACCAGGAGGACAGAACACAGGGAGACAAAACACAGGGAGAAAGAGACACAGGGAGGACGAGACCGGGAGAGACAGAGCCCCCGGGAGGACAAGACACGGGAAGAAAAACCAGGAGAGACAGAGACCCCGGGAGGAAAAAGGGGAAGACAGGACACAGGGAGCCCAGAGAAAGGGAGAGACAGAGACCAGGGAGGAAGAGCACGGGAGAGACAGAACGGGGGAAAAAAACGGGGAGAAACCAAGGGGGAGAACGAGACACGGAAGCCCGAGACACAGGAGAACACCACGGGAGGACGACACAGGAAACCAGGACACAGGGAAGACAAGCCCGGGGAAGACGAGACACAGGGAAAAGGCCCAAGGGGACAGAGACCAGGAAACGGACAAAGAGAACAGAACACGGGGGAGACAGAGACACAGGGAGGACAGAGACCAGGGAGACGAGACACGGGGAAGACAGAGAGAACGGGAAAACCAAGGAGAACACGGGGAGAGACAGAGACACGGGGAAGCAGAACAGGGAGAGACCGGGGAGAGACACAGGGAGGACAAGACACGGGGAGAAAAACACGGGGAGAACACAGGGAGGCGAGAAAAGGGGAAGCAGAGACCGGGGAGGACACAGGGAGGGGAAAAGGACCAGGGAAGAACGGGGAAAGGACACGGGGAAGACGGACCGGGGAGACAAACCGGGAGAGACAGAGCACAGGAGAGACAGAGACACGGAGAGACGGCCAGGGAAGACAGGACACAGGGGAGCAGAAAGGGGGAGAGACAGAGACACGGGGGAAGACGAGACACGGGGAGAGCCGAGACAGAGGGAGACAGAACACAGGGGAGACAGAACACGGGGGACAAGACAAGGGAGAACAGAGAACACGGGGAAGCAGAGCAGAGGGAGAACAGAGACACGGGAGAGACGGGGGGACACGGGGGAGAACAGAGACACAGGGAAAACAGAGCACGGGGAAGACAGAGAGGACAGAGACACAGGGAAGAACAGGAAGCAAGACCGGGAGACAGAGACCAGGGGAGACAAGACACAGGAGAGACGAGACACGGGGAAGAAAAGGACACAGGGAGAGACAAGACACGGGGAGAGACAGCAAGGAGAACAGAGAAAAACAGGAGAACAGGACAGGGGGAGAACGAGCACAGGGAGGACGAGACACGGGAGAGACAGAACACGGGAGAGAAAAGGGGGAGAGACGAGCCCGGGGGGCAGAGCACGGGGAGACACGGGGAGAGACAGAGACACAGGAGAACACGGGGGAAGACACAGGGAGAGAAGAGAAAAGGGGAGAGACGGACCAGGGGAACAAGACACAGGGAGGACAAGACCAGGGAGAGACAGACCGGAGAGACAGAGACCGGGGGGGACAGAGACAAGGGAGAGACGGACCGGGGGGGAGACGAGACACAGGGAGAGACAGAGACAGAGGGAGAAAAAGAAACACGGAGGACAGAGCAAGGGGAGACAGAACAGGGGGAGAGAAGAGACAAGGAGAGACAGAGCGAGGGAGGACAGAGCCCCGGGAGAGACAGAACACGGAGAACGGACACGGGGAGACAGACACAGGAGAGACAGAGAAACAAGACACAGGGAGAGACACAGGGGAGACAGGAAAAAAGGGGAGACGAAACAGGGGGACAAGACCAAAACGAACACAGGGAGAGACAGAACACGGGAAGACAGGCCCGGGGAGAACAAGAACAGGGAAAACAGAGACCGGGAGAACAGGACAGAGGGGAGACAGAGACACAGGGGAGACGGACACGGAAACAGAACACAGGGAGAACAAGACAAGGGAGGCCCGGACAAGGAGAGACAGAGAAAAGGGAAGACAGAACACAGGGAGACAGGAACAGGGAGAGACGAGCACAGGGGAACAGAGACGAGGGAAGACAGGCACGGGGAGAGCAAGACACGGAAGGACGAGAACGGAGAGACGAAAAACAGGAGAGACAAGCCCGGGGAGAGCCCGGACACAGGGAAACAGAGACAGGAGAGCCCCGAACCAGGGGGGACAGAGAAGACAGGCCCCAAGGGAGAGACCGGGGAAGACGAGACCGGGAAGACAGAACACGGGGAGAGACAGGCACGGGGAAAACGAGCACGGGGAGAGACAAGAAGAGGGAGGAACGAGACACGGGAGAAAACAAAAGGAAGATAGTCTACCCTAGTTCAGCGTTGTGAGGAGGGGACTGGGACTTAGTTTCCTCCACATTTAACAATTTAAACCTTTTTTAAAACAAGCTCTCATATGTTCTGATGAAAGCCACTCTCCTGAGCTAAACTCACAATCCACAATCCAGATATGAGTGCAAGGAAACATTTGAGTAATACAACAAATATTATAACACCACCACATGATTTCACAAGAGCACCTTCTCTAAGTGACGCAGAGTATTTTCACTCAGTAGTTGCCCTGAGTGAGGCCAGGATTCAATCCAACAAAGATTAACGACCTGCGCAAAGCACTAGACTTTTAATTTCTAAATGCTGTGGATGTTGGTTCAAGCAGAAATCACCTTGAAATAAAAGTCTCAGTGCTCCGTTTTGGTTTGAATACCAGTCCAAGTCAGAGCCTGTTATGGACAGTGTGAGCGGAGGCTAGCCCTTAGGAGGAGGGAGAACAAAGCCCTGACACCCTACTCCCTATAGTGCACACGTTTTGGTAGTTTACTATATAAGGAACAGGTTTGGGGAAAGCCCCGGTAGTTTACTATATAAGGAACAGGTTTGGGGAAAGCCCCGGTAGTTTACTATATAAGGAACAGGTTTGGGGAAAGCCCCGGTAGTTTACTATATAAGGAACAGGTTTGGGGAAAGCCCCGGTAGTTTACTATATAAGGAAAGGTTTTGGGGAAAGCCCCGGTAGTTTACTATATAAGGAACAGGTTTGGGGAAAGCCCCGGTAGTTTACTATATAAGGAACAGGTTTGGGGAAAGCCCCGGTAGTTTACTATATAAGGAACAGGTTTGGGGAAAGCCCCGGTAGTTTACTATATAAGGAAAGGTTTTGGGGAAAGCCCCGGTAGTTTACTATATAAGGAACCGGTTTGGGGAAAGCCCTGGTAGTTTACTATATAAGGAACAGGTTTGGGGAAAGCCCTGGTAGTTTACTATATAAGGAACAGGTTTGGGGAAAGCCCTGGTCCAGTTCAGACCTAAAATTAAAATATGATGGCTAGCTCTAGGCAGTCTGGGTAGTTCCATATTTTTTTTAATTTCCCAAAGATGGAGACCACCGTGCTCTTGGAAACTTTCAACACTCTAGAAATGGTTTTATAACCTTCCCCAGATATGCCTCATCGGAGATCTACGGACAGTTCCTTGGACTTCATGGTATAGTTTCTGCTCTGACATGCCCCGTCAACGGTGGGAACTTTATATAGACAGGTGTGTTTCTTTCTAAATCATGTCCAAACAATTGAAATTGGCCACAGGTGGACTCCCAAGTTGTAGTGACGTCTCAAGGATGAAAAGGAAATTGGATGCACCTGAGCTCAATTTGGAGTGTCATAGCAAAGGGGTGTGAATACTTACGTAAATAAGATGTGTACTTCATTTTCAATAAATTTGGAAAATTGTCTAAAAACATTTGCTCACCGTCATTATGGGGTATTGTGTGTAGATGGGTGAGAAAAAAAATATTTAATCCATTTTGAATTCAGGCTGTAACAACAAGAACATGTGGAACTGAAGAGGGTTCATTTTGTCTAGAGCCCTCTCTGTGTCTGTCAGCAGACCACTCCAGTGGCTGGCTGGCTGGCTGGCTGGCTTACTTTTGGCCTAGTGCCTTGCATAGGGAGCCATTTGGGACCTTCAGGCAGCTTGTCACAACAGAATCCATACTTCAGGCAGGTTGTCACAACAGAATCCATCCTTCAGGCAGGTTGTCACAACAGAATCCATACTGTCACAACAGAATCCATACTTCAGGCAGGGGGCCTTCATGGTAGCTGTTGTCACAATAATAACCCAACTAAATGAATGAACCAGAGGGGAAGTTTCCCCAAGGTACAGATCTAGGATCAGTTTCCCCTAGGTACAGACCTAGGATCAGTTTCCCCTAGGTACAGACCTAGGATCAGTTTCCCCTAGGTACAGACCTAGGATCAGTTTCCCCTCCCCCCTAGGTACAGACCTAGGATCAGCTTCCCCTCCCCCCTAGTTACAGACCTAGGATCAGTTTCCCCTCCCCCCTAGTTACAGACCTAGGATCAGTTTCTCTTCCCCCCTAGTTACAGACCTAGGATCAGTTTCCCCTCCCCCCTAGGTACAGACCTAGGATCAGCTTCCCCTCCCCCCCTAGTTACAGACCTAGGATCAGTTTTCCCCTCCCCCCTAGGTACAGACCTAGGATCAGTTTCCCCTCCCCCCTAGGTACAGACCTAGGATCAGCTTCCCCTCCCCCCTAGGTACAGACCTAGGATCAGCTTCCCCTCCCCCCTAGTTACAGACCTAGGATCAGTTTCCCCTCCCCCCTAGTTACAGACCTAGGATCAGTTTCTCTTCCCCCCTAGTTACAGACCTAGGATCAGTTTCCCCTCCCCCCTAGTTACAGACCTAGGATCAGTTTCCCCTCCCCCCTAGGTACAGACCTAGGATCAGTTTCCCCTCCCCCCTAGGTACAGACCTAGGATCAGTTTCCCCTCCCCCCTAGGTACAGACCTAGGATCAGTTTCTCTTCCCCCCTAGTTACAGACCTAGGATCAGTTTCCCCTCCCCCCTAGGTACAGACCTAGGATCAGCTTTCCCCTCCCCCCTAGGTACAGACCTAGGATCAGTTTCCCCTCCCCCCTAGGTACAGACCTAGGATCAGTTTCCCCTCCCCCCCCTAGGTACAGACCTAGGATCAGTTTCCCCTCCCCCCTAGGTACAGACCTAGGATCAGTTTCCCCTCCCCCCTAGGTACAGACCTAGGATCAGCTTCCCCTCCCCCCCCTAGGTACAGACCTAGGATCAGTTTCCCCTCCCCCCTAGGTACAGACCTAGGATCAGTTTCTCTTCCCCCTAGTTACAGACCTAGGATCAGTTTCCCCTCCCCCCCTAGGTACAGACCTAGGATCAGTTTCCCCTCCCCCCTAGGTACAGACCTAGGATCAGTTTCCCCTCCCCCCTAGGTACAGACCTAGGATCAGCTTCCCCTCCCCCCTAGGTACAGACCTAGGATCAGCTTCCCCTCCCCCTAGGTACAGACCTAGGATCAGTTTCCCCTCCCCCCTAGGTACAGACCTAGGATCAGCTTCCTCTCCCCCCTAGGTACAGACCTAGGATCAGTTTCCCCTCCCCCCCTAGGTTACAGACCTAGGATCAGTTTCTCCTCCCCCCTAGTTACAGACCTAGGATCAGCTTCCCCTCCCCTCTAGGTACAGACCTAGGATCAGTTTCCCCTCCCCCCCTAGGTACAGACCTCGGATCAGCTTCCCCTCCCCCCTAGGTACAGACCTAGGATCAGTTTCCCCTCCCCCCTAGGTACAGACCTAGGATCAGTTTCCCCTCCCCCCCCTAGGTACAGACCTAGGATCAATTTCCCCTCCCCCCTAGGTACAGCCTAGGATCAGCTTCCCCTCCCCCCCTAGGTACAGACCTAGGATCAGTTTCCCCTCCCCCCTAGTTACAGACCTAGGATCAGTTTCCCCTCCCCCCCTAGTTACAGACCTAGGATCAGTTTCCCCTCCCCCCTAGGTACAGACCTAGGATCAGTTTCCCCTCCCCCCTAGGTACAGACCTAGGATCAGTTTCCCCTCCCCCCTAGGTACAGACCTAGGATCAGTTTCCCCTCCCCCCTAGTTACAGACCTAGGATCAGTTTCCCCTCCCCCCTAGTTACAGACCTAGGATCAGTTTCCCCTCCCCCCCCTAGGTACAGACCTAGGATCAGTTTCCCCTCCCCCCTAGGTACAGACCTAGGATCAGTTTCCCCTCCCCCCTAGGTACAGACCTAGGATCAGTTTCCCCTCCCCCCTAGGTACAGACCTAGGATCAGTTTCCCCTCCCCCCTAGTTACAGACCTAGGATCAGTTTCCCCTCCCCCCTAGGTACAGACCTAGGATCAGTTTCCCCTCCCCCCTAGTTACAGACCTAGGATCAGTTTCTCCTCCCTCTGGGTGCAGATCTAGGATCAGCTTCCCCCCTCTAGGATCAGCCAAGACCAGGGTCTAAAGGCAACTTCACCCAACTCCGTCACACTCACTGAAGAGAATGCCTCAAACTCCATTGAAGTTGAGAGAATTGAGAAAGTCCTGAACTATTTTGACTTCTTTCAAATCTTTCTCTTCTCATAATATCCGTTTAATGTATTGTACAACAAACAATCATTAGACCTGTTCAGGTGTAAAAGGTTTTGAGAAAGAGGTGGTGGCTGTTACCTTTGGCTGTAGTGGCTCCTCCGTGACCGTTGGTGGACGCAATCTGAACAACAATGGAAAGATGGGAGGAGAGCTACTTAAAAGACATAGTAAATGACATAGCATAAAACAATACCTTCCCATATCCCTAAAGCACGTTTTCAAAGATGTAAAAATAACCTACAACAGTATGATTACTAGATTGGGTATTGTTGAAAAGGAAACATCTTGAAGAGGAAGACAATGGAAATAAGCCTTCTGGCTTTATTAGGATTGAAAGCTATTCTCTGAATTAATTTTTGTATTTTTCTTGACATAGGATCCTACGGTTCTAAGATGCTTTTGGGAAACCGGGCCCTGGTCAAATAACATGAGTAACTTGTTCAAAAAAAAAAAAAACAGCACCGATTGGCCTATAAGTGACCCGACCAAATTCACATAGAGATGCGAGTTATAGATCCTGTCATTCTTATTGAAAGCGAGTCTAAGAAGGGGTAGATCTGTTGTTCTACGTGCCCTATTTCTATGCTCCCCGTTCTTAAGTTTCATTCGTGCGTCTTTTACTTTAGGTTTTGTACACCAGCTTCAAACAGCTGAAAATACAATATTTTCCTTCTTAATGCGTTTGAGCCAATCAGTTGTGTTGTGACAAGGGGGGGGGGGGGGGGGTATACAGAAGATAGCCCTATTTGGTAAAATACCAAGTCCATATTATGGCAAGAACAGCTCAAATAAGCAAAGAGAAACGACAGTCCATCATTACTTTAAGATATGAAGGTCAGTCAATCCGGAACATTTTAAGAACTTTGAAAGTGTCTTCAAGTGCGGTCGCAAAAACCATCAAGCGCTATGATGAAACTGGCTCTCATGAGGACTGCCACAGGAAAGGAAGACCCAGAGTTACCTCTGCTGCAGAGGATAAGTTCATTAGAGTTAACTGCACCTCAGATTGCAGCCCAAATAAATGCTTCACAGAGTTCAAGTCACAGACACATCTCAACATCAACTGTTCAGAGGAGACTGTGTGAATCAGGCCTTCATGGTCGAATTGCTGCAAATAAACCACTACTAAAGAACACCAATAAGAAGAAGAGACCTGCTTGGGCCAAGAAACACAAGCAATGGACATTAGACCGGTGGAAATCTGTCCTTTGGTCTGGAGTCCAAATGCAATCAATCAATCAATCAAAATAAAACTGAGATAATACATAGTGTGAAGCATCATTCTGTGCTCACCTGGTGAGTCCATCCATTATAGGAGTTTCTGGAGCTGCAATCTACTGGAGGAGTTTCCTCTTGAATGAAGTCTGCCATCGCTATACCCCCACCAGGGTCCCTGTGCGCGGGGAAACACACACACAGAGGATACTTTTTGGTTACCTAGCACCACAACAATGCACTTTAGGATTCCTTCCTGCCTCCCCTTGGGAGTTGGATGGATGCAGAGACAAAACAAAAAGAGTGGTTGATGGAGATGCATGGACACCAGCCAAAAGGGAGCGTGATGGAGGATTGCTGAAGGACACACATGAAAGGGTGTGGATGGTGGCAGAGGACACACACAAAGGAGCTTGATGGTTACAGAGACACACAAAAGGATGTGAGGATGGCAGGACACACCGAAAGGAGTGTGGATGGATGGCAGAGGACACACAGAAAGGAGCGTGGATGGATGGCAGAGGACACACAGAAAGGAGCGTGGATGGATGGCAGAGGACACACAGAAAGGAGCGTGGATGGATGGCAGAGGACACACAGAAAGGAGCGTGGATGGATGGCAGAGGACAGACAGAGGCCTGAGGCGCTATGATAACACCATTCATCATGTTCACATTAATAGAATTAACCTATACTTCTCACTCGTCATTTATCTTATCATTAATCAAATGCTGGAAATTAGAAATTCGTTAGCCTATTCAGAATTAGAATCACGTTCGTTGTCCTACAAGAGGAAACTCTTGGCACAGCTCACACATTGCTTACACAAAACAAAGAAAACAGACCTAGCTAACATGCAACAGGGCTACATTATTTTCAAATATTCAGAAGAAATGTAAAACAAGAAAAACATTCCGAGACCCTAACATTTCTGTTTAGCTGGAAGGTACACCGAGTGTTCAAAACATTAGGAACACCTGCTCTTTTCATGACAGGCTGACCAGGGGAAAACTAATGATCCCTTATTGACGTCACCTGTTAAATCCACTTCAAAAATCAGTGTAGATGAAAGGGGAGGAGACAGGTTAAAGAAGGATTTTAAAGCCTTGAGACATGGGATAGGATAAAGTAATCCTTCTACCCCCCCCCCCCCCCCCCCCCAAAAAAAAAAATAATAATAAAATAAAATAAAATAAAAAAAAGAAAGTATAATTGTAAAGTGGTTATCCCACTGGCTATAGGGTGATTGCACCAATTTGTAGTCGCTCTGGATAAGAGCGTCTGCTAAATGACGTAAATGTGCCCTTGAGCAAGGCACTTAACCCTAATTGCTCCTGTGAGTCGCTCTGGATAAGAGCGTCTGCTAAATGACTAAAATGTAAATGTAAATGTAATTAAGCTGTTATTTACATATTAAGCGGTTATAAACATATTATTAACACGCTGTTCTCCTATTATTGATATGTTATTCACCTATCAAATCAGGCAGGACAGGGTTTCAGTCAGGAGTCCAGGGGTCCTATAGAGAGCATATCAAAGATATCTGAGGTATAGTCCCCATGTAGCTCAGTTGGTAGAGCATGGCGCTTGCAACGCCAGGGTTGTGGGTTCGTTTCCCACGGGGGGCCAGTATGAAAATGTATGCACTCACTAACTGTAAGTCGCTCTGGATAAGAGCGTCTGCTAAATAACTCAAATGTAAAATGAATGGGCAAGACAAAATATTGAAGTGCCTTTGAACGGGGTATAGTAGTAGGTGCCAGGTGCACCGGTTTGATTGTGTCAAGAACTGCAACGCTGCAGGTTTTTCCACGCTCAACAGTTTCCTGTGTGTATCAAGAACGGTCCACCACCCAAAGGAGTCAGTGTATGTGATGAACCAAACATCTCCACCAATGATTGTCTGACTACGAATCACCATGCCTCAATTCTAGAGGCCAGAAAGGTTTCCGAACAAATGTGGTCAACCCATAAAATTTGACTTAAAGCACAAAACAACAGTTGGACAACATCTCTGACAACCTAGCTCAGTGTTTTTCAACTCCAGTACCCCTCCCCCCAACAGCCCAACTCCAGTCCTCCAGTACCCCCCAACAGCCCAACTCCAGTCCTCCAGTACCCCCCAACAGCCCAACTCCAGTCCTCCAGTACCCCCCAACAACCCAACTCCAGTCCTCCAGTACCCCCCAACAGCCCAACTCCAGACCTCCAGTACCCCCCAACAACCCAACTCCAGTACCCCTCCCCCCAACAGCCCAACTCCAGTCCTCCCAGTACCCCCCCAACAGCCCAACTCTCCAGTCCTCCAGTACCCCCCAACAGCCCAACTCCAGACCTCCAGTAACCCCCCAACAACCCAACTCCCAGTCCTCCAGTACCCCCCCCAACAGCCCAACTCCAGTCCTCCAGTACCCCCAACAGCCCAACTCCAGTCCTCCAGTACCCCCAACAAGCCCAACTCCAGTCCTCCAGTACCCCCAACAGCCCAACTCCCAGTCCATCCAGTACCCCCAAACAACCCAACTCCAGTCCTCCAGTACCCCCCCCAAACAAGCCCAACTCCAGTCCTCCAGTACCCCCCAACAGCCCAACTACAGTCCTCCAGTACCCCCAAGTACCCCCCCACCCAACAACCCCCCATGAACATTAACCCTGAACCCGACAGCTCACTGACCTACCCTGGTCCGTTACTGTCCTCCTGGCCCTCGTTGGCCCCCTCAGTGCTGGTTCTGCTGCCCTCTTTCCCCTTGGCCCGGTGCTCTACCACCTCTCCGTCGTCCAGGGCATGATGCAGCCGGTAGGTCACAGTCTTCAGGAGCAGGAACATGCCAGCTATCACTCCACAGTAGATCCCCACTATCACCATGGTGGGCGGGAGCACCTGGAGGACACATATTACGTTTATAAAATTTGACAGATAATCTTATGCAAAGCCACCTACAATTAGTGCCTTTAACTAAAGTAGGTAAAACAACCAGGGCTACATTTTTGAAAAACCTAGGGAGGACCAGGGTTCCCTTACTGCTTCTATTTGGCTCCACAAGTTGAGCAAAAAAATTACAAATAATCATCCGTTTTTTTTATTATCAATACATTTGCAAACGTTTCTAAAAACCTGTTTTCGCTTTGTCATTATGGGGTATTGTCTGTAGATTGATGAGGAAAATAATTGATAAAAACAAAAACATACTTTATTTTACATAAGTATTCAGACCCTTTGCTATGAGACTCGAAATTGAGCTCAGGTGCATCCTGTTTCCATTGATCACCCTTGAGATATGTTTCTACAACTTGATTTGAGTCCACCTGGGGTAAATTCAATTGATTGGACGTGATTTGGAAAGGCACACACCTGTCTATATAAGGTCCCACAGTTGACATTAGATCAAAGGAATTTTCCGTAGAGCTCCGAGACAGGATTGTGTTGAGGCACAGATCTGGGGAATGGTACCAAAAAATGTCTGCAGCATTGAAGGTCTCCAAGAACACTGTGGCCTCCATCACTCTTAAATGGAAGAACTTTGGAACCACCAAGACTAGAGGGCCTTGGTCAGGGAGGTGACCAAGACCCCGATGGTCACTCTGACAGAGCTCCAGAGTTCCTCTGTGGAGATGGGAGAACCTTCCAGAAGGACAACCATCTCTGCAGCATTCCACCAAGCAGGCCTTTATGGTAGAGTGGCCAGACGGAAGCCACTCCTCAGTAAAAGGCACATGACAGCCTGCTTGGAGTTTGCCAAAAGGCACCTAAAGACTCTCATACCATGAGAAACAAGATTCTCTGGCCTGATGAAACCAAGATTGAACTCTTTGGCCTGAATGCCAAGCATCACATCTGGAGGAAACCTGGCACCATCCCTACGGTGAAGCATGGTGGTGGCAGCATCATGCTGTGGGGATGTTTTTCAGCGGCAGGGACTGGGAGACTAGTCAGGATCGAGGGTCCGTTACACAAGGCACTGAATCACAGATCGGAGCAAAGTACAGAGAGATCCTTGATGAAAACCTGCTCCAGATCGCTCAGGACCTCAGACTGGCACGAAGGTTCACCTTCCAACAGGACAATGACCTTAAGCACACAGCCAAGACAACGCAGGAGTGGCTTCGGGACAAGTCTCTGAATGTCCTTGAGTGGCCCAGCCAGAGGCCGGACTTGACCCGATCGAACATCTCTGGAGACCCTGAAAATAGCTGTGCAGCGACGCTCCCCATCCAACCTGACAGAGCTTGAGAGGATCTGCAGAGAAGAAACTCCCCAAATACAGGTGTGCCAAGTTTGTAGCGTCATACCCAAGAAGACTGGAGGTTGTAATCACTGCCAAAGGTGCTTTAACAAAGTACTGAGTAAAGGGTCTGAATACTTATGTAAATGTAATATTTCAGTTTTGAATTAAAAAAAATTGCTAACATTTATAAAAACCTGTTTTTGCTTTGTCATTGTGGGGTAGTGTGTGTAGATTGATGAGCGGGGGGAAAAAACGATTTAATCTATGTTAGAATAAGGCTGTAACGTAACACATTTTGGAGAAAGTCAAGGGGTCTGAATACTTCCCAAATGCACTGTAAAGCAGGCAGACTGTCAGAGACATTCAGTGACTGTTCGATTGAACGTTAGAATGGGCAAAACTAGTGACCTAAGCAAGTTTGAGCGTGGTATGATCTTCGGTGCCAGGCACGCTGGTTCTGGTATCGCTGAAATGGACAGCCTGCTGAGCTTTTCACGCACTACAGTGTCTAGGGTTTACCGAGAATGGTGCTACAAACAAAAAAAACGTCCAGTCAGCGCCAGTCCTGTGGGCGAAAACAGCTCGTTGATGAGAGGTTGAAGGACAATGGCAAGAATCTTGCAAGCTAACAGGCGGGCCACAAACAGGCAAATAACAGGCACAGTACAACAGAAGAACGCAGAACGGCATCTCGGAACACACAACTCGTTGGATCTTGTCACTGATGGGCTATTGCAAGCAGACGACCACACCGGGTTCCACCCCTATTAGCTAAAAACAAGAAGAAGTGGCTCCAGTGGGCACGCCATCACCAACACCGGACAATTGAGGAGTGGAAAAATGTTGCCTAGTCCAACGAATCCCGGTTCCTGTTACGTCATGCTGATGGCAGAGTCCATGGCCCCATCCTGCCTGGTGTCAACGGTACATGATTGTGGTGTAATGGTGTGGGGAATGTTTTCCTGGAGCACGTTAGGTCCCTTGGTACCAATTGAGCAACGTGTCAATGCCCCAAATAATTCCGGCTGTTCTGGAGGAAAAGGGGGAGTCCTACCCGGTATAAGATGGGTGTACCTAATAAACTGGCCATTGAGTGAATAGTTGATATTAAGACCTTCCCTCATTATGATCAGTGATTCAGTGCCTTGTGTAACGGACCAGCCCGGTATGCTCTGCTCGGGGACTTCATTAGCTCTGAGAGCTAAAAGGCTCCATGTCTTGGGAAAGGTAAGTCATCATCACAGTATTAATACAGTCATCAGTATAGTTTACTGAACTACCTCCACTACATTTCCATAGCAGATGTTCAGAGCATTTATTTATTATGCATAACAATAACACCTGCGTTGCTCAAACCCGCTCCTCATTAAGACCACATGGCGTTATTACCATGGAGTTATTACCATGGAGTTATTACCATGGCGTTATTACCATGGAGTTATTACCATGGCGTTATTACCATGGAGTTATTACCATGGCGTTATTACCATGGAGTTATTACCATGGAGTTATTGGACACTGTGTTAACAAACCTCCAAACGGTTCAACGCCATACAACACTCCTTCAGTAGCCTCCAACTGCTCTTAAACGCTAGTAAAACTAAATGCATGCTCTTCAATCGAACGCTGCTGGCACCCGCCCACCCGACTAGAATCACCACTCTCGACGGGGTCTGACCTAGAGTATGTGGACAACTACAAATACCTAGGTGTCTGGTTAGACCATAAACTCTCCTTCCAGACTCACATTAAGAATCTCCAATCCAAAGTTAAATCTAGAATCGGTTTCCTATTTCGCAACAAAGCCTCCTTCACTCATGCTGCCAAACATGCCCTCGTAAAACTGACTATCCTACCGATCCTTGACTTCGGCGATGTCATTTACAAAATAGCCTCCAACACTCTACTCAGCAAATTGTTTGTAGTCTATCACAGTGCCATCCGTTTTGTCTCCAAAGCCCCATACACTACCCACCACTGTGACCTGTACGCTCTTGTTGGCTGGTCCTCACTACATGTTCGTCGTCAAACCCACTGGCTCCAGGCCATCTATAAATCACTGCTAGGCAAATCCCCGCCTTATCTTAGCTCATTGGTCACCATAGCAGCACCCACCCGTAGTCTGCGCTCCAGCAGGTATATCTCACTGGTCATTCCCAAAGCCAACACCTCCTTTGGCCGCCATTCCTTCCAGTTCTCTGCTGCCAATGACTGGAACGAATTGCAAAAATCTCTGAAGCTGGAGACTCTTATCTCCCTCACTAACTTTAAGCATCAGTTGTGCCGGCCTAGATTCGACAGTATTCACTAACTGTAAGTCGCTCTGGATAAGAGCGTCTGCTAAATGACTTAAATGTAAATGTTGTCAGAGCACCTTACCGATCACTGCACCTGTACACAGCCCAACTGAAATTAGCCCACCCAACTACCTCATCCCTATATTGTTATTTATTTTGCTCTTTTGCACCCCAGTATCTCTATTTGCACTAAACAATGTAAGGAAAGTAATCCAATGTTGTTATTTGTTGCCTGGACTTTACTGCAAATGACACTCGTCCAGAGAAAAAACGATACGTTAATATTGCAGTTATCCATGACAGCCTTTATAATAAAACACTTGTGACCACACACACACACACACACACACACACATCTAAATATTGCACTTGGGAGAAAAAATAACATCTTAAAAGTAGAAATACAATGAAACAAACAGGCATTCTATTTTTTCTCTATTATAGTGGCTACGATTATACTGGCCACTAATAGTACATATCGATCAAGTGCAAAAAAATAATGTTCACCTGAGTAAAAACTAAAAGAATCCCCCCTCGCTCTCACACAACTGTATGTCAAGTTCAACACAACAAAAGCAATGGCTTTGGGCTACACCGCACGTTATTACATTGGAGACTTTCTGCCTGTGGACATCTGTTCCACAATGTGTCAGCAGCAGAGCATGATACCCTTTGTTGGCGTGATTGATCTCTTTCAGGCAAAGTACACCTGGCATAACCCTTTTATTTCACCTCTATAGTGGCATCCAGTTTAAACCAGGCCCAGGCTCCAGCTAACGTTACACTTCATCTCTGAATCCACTTGCTTAACAAGAAACGCCTCATTTTCACCCAATTCTCTCATTCTGAAAATTAACCACATACTGTAGAGGGAAAACATTAGATCATAGATAGCTAGTTAACTAGCTAACGAACTAACGTTAACTACTAACGGAGAATTCGATCCAGCTAGCAAGATACTTAAACAATGCTAACAATTCTTGTTCCACCACACTTGCTCCCTCACCTCAAACTTTCCAAAATGCCAGTTGTTTTTTCGGTTACAGCTCATGAAGTAGGCTTCATCACCTTCTCACCCCCCGGTCTCCGTGGTCAGGTATTCTCACCTACCTCTCCGTTGTCGTTCAGGGGACGCGCAGCTGTAACCAGTAAACTGCCTTCCTGCTCTCCGCTGTCTTTCCAGAGCGCGCGCTGATGCTGTAACTAACAAGTTGGTTGTCGCTTCTCTCTTCAGTCGCGTGCTGCATTCTGTTCGTATGTGAATGATTGTCTGAGCCTTGGATATAGCCGGTATTGCTCCAAACGTGCATCACTCGTTCGCTTACAGCCAGTAGTGATCCAAAGCCCCCCCCCCCCAAAAAACAAATTTTGGTTACCTATTTTGGATTTAAAATGGCAAATTTCGCCGAAAGGGGACTAGTTTGCATCCCTGAGAGAATCACTCTGCACATGCAACACTTTTTCAAAGATTTTGCTGTGTTACAGTTCATATACGGAAATCAGTCAATTGAAATAAATTCATTAGGCCCTAATCTATGGATTTCACACGACTGAGCAGGCACACAGCCGCAGGTGATGAAGCCAGATGTGGAGGTTCTAGGCTGGCGTGGTTATACGTGGTCTGCGGTTGTAAGGCCGGTTGGACGTACTACCAAATTCTCTAAAACAACGTTGGAGGCGGCTTATGGTAGAGAAATGAATATTCAATTCTCTGGCAACAGCTCTGGTGGACATTCCTGCAGTCAGCATGCCAATTGCACGCTCCCTCAAAACTTGAGACATCTGTGGCATTGTGTTGTGACAAAACTGCACATTTTAGAGTGTCCTTTTATTGATATGATACACCTGTCAGGTGGATGGATTATCATGGCAAAGGAGAAATGCCCACTAACAGGGATGAAAACAAATTTGTGCTCTATTTTTGTTCAGTGTAAATTGGAAAGCTGCAACTAAAATGCCCCTCAATATTGAAAGTGGGTTACAGATAAAAATGCTGCTTGAAAGATCACTAATTTAAATTTGGTTAATATGAGGGGGAAGGGACAGGAACATTTGGTTGTGCAGATAGTGTTTACACTAACATGATAGGAGGGGGAGGGACATTTGGTTGTGCAGCTAGTGTTTAATCCATCCTACTCTCCAGCTATTCCAAATGATTAATGACAACATCTCCTAGCGGTCTATTTTTGTGCTGTATTTCTGAGTCAGTTTGAATACCTGGTAGATCTTGCCACCAGTATAGGAGAGTCAAGAGAGCACAAAACATGCATTGTTAGCTAAGCTAATAGACCGAGATAGATTGCTGCCAATGTTAGTACCTACCATACATTATATGTCTTCTATTAGCTAGTTATCTTTGTGGAATGTTATGTCTAATGTATTTACCTCCGTTTTGAAACGTGTCTTTATGTCTTGATTTATGTTTTAAATGTCTGATATATCTTGTCCTTTTGTTTATGTTTTCATTTATACTGTATGTTCACCTGCCCAGGGACTAGGGATGTAAATGACCTGTTAGCTACATTACATCTGGTGGCGCAACGCATCACTTCTCGCGTTTGAGAATTATGTTTTTGTTGTACATTGTTCTGTTCAAAATAAACGTAATAAAAACGTTTTAACCACGACTTGTTACCAAAAACTGGTTGGGATTAGTATTTTCCTAAATCTGGTATTTGTGGACAATGTAACGGTGTCAGGTAGCTAGCCAACAATGACAGCTAGCCAGCTGACATTATTAGTTAAATTAGTTAGCTACTTAGGTTTGCTAGCTTGCTAACCTTATCGGGAGAGAAAAAAGTGTCACACCTGACAACACAACATAACAGTGAAAACACAAGAAGCGAACAGTACGACCAGTTTATAAACTACACGTCAACTGGTATTTATTTCGTTTATTCGAGGGAAATATGTAGATTTCAAACAAAGGACGCCTACACAGCAACCTAGCTAACGTTAGCTAGATAACGTTAGTTACCCTACTAGCCATCAGCGGTTTGGCTAGCATCATTAACGTTACAGCCAGGGAAGAGCGTCTAACGGTAAACCATATATTGACTTGCTTTGTTGAGATTGAAGGATATCTAACTTTATTGTGCCATAAAAGACAGTAACCGGATCAAAGTTAAAACATACTTACCATGTAAAGGGTGAAGGGGAAACATAGTAGGAACAGCCAGAGGTAGAGGTGTAGCGCATTGACAAATGTATTTTGATGAGGATCATAGTACCATCCGCCTGTGATTGAAGCCCAGACACCCTGCCTGAGGATCTGTAGAGTTTGAGACCCCATGTTTTATCCCATTCGATTCCTTGAAGAAACGACTAAATAAACGGGGTGACACGAAGGCTAGCCGTCGTGAAACATGACGAACAGTACAGTGTTTTCAGACTTTGGCCTGAAAATCCCCACTGCAGATATCTTCTGCAGTTAGCAAGCTGGGGCACTGTTCTTGGTCCTCCACTCAGACGTCTCCTATCCCACCACACTCTGCGAGGTGCTTCTTCTTCTTCGTCTTCGTCTTCTTCTTCTTCTTCGTCGAGGTTTGATGAGAGACTACAACCAATTGGTGTAATGTCTCCACCTACTTACTGTACGGGGTAGTGAACGAGAAAAAAAAGCAATTACGGGAAAGGAGTGGGGAACACCGACGTCATACAAAATACAAAAAAAAGTACTAAATCAAAACCCATCCCACTCCTTCAGTCATGGGCCAAACCACATCCCTACACAGGCTCATGGGCCTGTAAAGCAGAACAGTAGTCGACAGGATTCCTTGTAATGTCTCTGCTGTAAAATCGCCGAGTTCCAAAAAACGATGACTATTTTTCTCTGTTTGGTTGTGCAGTTTATAACCATTGCAATAAACGTTACAAAGTCCACCTTTAAACATGCAACATATCAGCACAGATAGAACAATGAGCCAGATGTTTCACCAGATGTATAAATCTGAAGCATCCGGTTGGCATTTCCACTCACCACCAAATATGGTGATAAAAGGAAGCCAAGTGGCTGGCAGTGGGAGAAGATGGCGCGAGATGGTTTTTAGCCGACATTCTGCACATTTTCTCATCAATGAAACATTGGATCTCAATACAGTTCTGTTCCCAAAACTAGAATCTGTTATGAACAGAGTAAAAATAAAAATGTTTCCAGAAACAGAATCAGAACCGCGAATGAAAGTGATCTCTACTGTTCCGGAACAGAACCGTTATTTTTAAAAGCATGGAACCGGTTAACAATGTTCTTTTACGTTCTAGGCATTCTTTTCCCCAGTCCCACAAAAAAAACGCATCAACGAGCCCTATGCAAAGCCCTCACTCTCAAACGTATTCCAGTGTCTGCCTGCCTTCCAGCTGAAAATATTTGCTGGTGTCTGTGCATGTGTAGACAACCTGCCCCCTCCCGCTTCAAAGCATAGTCTAGTAACCTATTGATGTTACAAGCTAGCCCTTGATCACATGACTCTCAGTTCCATTATATTACACATAAGAGTCATTGGACGAAGGCGTCTTCTGTACACACGTCGCTTGCGGTACGGTTTTGGAAGCACAAGGACCTTATCTTTCATATCAGCGAGACATAATAATACAAATAAAAAGGTTAAATTGATACTTTGGGTTAAATTTTCTTAAATGCCATTCCTTACTAGTTTTGTGTGTATTAGGTATATGTTGTGAAATTGTTAGATATTACTTGTTAGATATTACTGCACTGTCGGAGCTAGAAGCACAAGCATTTCGCTACACCAGCAATAACACCTGCTAAACACGTGTATGTGACATAAACAATTTAATTTAATTTAATTTGATTGGTGTTCCCACGCGGCCATATCGCCATGTTACACCGCTTGTTTACGGAAGACAAAAGGCGACCACCTGTGCTAATTAGCTATCTGGCATGCTCAGAACACCTTTGTGTAAGCGGAAGTGTAGTTTCGTTGGATGGAGGCCTCCATAGCTGTATGGATCTGCGCAAAACTGCTACAGTAAGTGTATCTTTTCTTAATTGAAGGATTCTTTCTCGCTGATGAAAGAAAGATAAGAGTCATATGTTTCGAAAGCCGTATTATGATTATTGCCGTTTCTAAACGTTAAAACACAGCGTTGGGAGATTATAGTTCACATGAGGTAGTCGTGGGCGAAGCTGAGAACTGTAGGGAGAAGGCTGAATGGCTGAGAACTGTAGGGAGAAGGCTGAATGGCTGAGAACTGTAGGGAGAAGGCAGAATGGCTGAGAACTGTAGGGAGAAGGCTGAATGGCTGAGAACTGTAGGGAGAAGGCAGAATGGCTGAGAACTGTAGGAGAAGGCTGAATGGCTGAGAACTGTAGGGAGAAGGCAGAATGGCTGAGAACTGTAGGGAGAAGGCTGAATGGCTGAGAACTGTAGGGAGAAGGCTGAATGGCTGAGAACTGTAGGGAGAAGGCTGAATGGCTGAGAACTGTAGGGAGAAGGCTGAATGGCTGAGAACTGTAGGGAGAAGGCAGAATGGCTGAGAACTGTAGGGAGAAGGCTGAATGGCTGAGAACTGTAGGGAGAAGGCTGAATGGCTGAGAACTGTAGGGAGAAGGCTGAATGGCTGAGAACTGTAGGGAGAAGGCTGAATGGCTGAGAACTGTAGGGAGAAGGCTGAATGGCTGAGAACTGTAGGGAGAAGGCTGAATGGCTGAGAACTGTAGGGAGAAGGCAGAATGGCTGAGAACTGTAGGGAGAAGGCAGAATGGCTGAGAACTGTAGGGAGAAGGCAGAATGGCTGAGAACTGTAGGGAGAAGGCAGAATGGCTGAGAACTGTAGGGAGAAGGCAGAATGGCTGAGAACTGTAGGGAGAAGGCAGAATGGCTGAGAACTGTAGGGAGAAGGCAGAATGCCGCCTAGAGTTTGAGAGCTAGTTACAAGCATGATTCAGAAATTAGGGAGTAGAGATTTTTTGTTGGAGAATGGATCAACCTTTTCAATGCAAGTTATGGATACTATAATTATCACGTTTCACATTGGATTTATTAACTACAAAAAGGTAAGACGTGTTTTTATTTTAATTCTGGTGAAGCTCTGTGCACACAAGCGTGCCAGCTAGCTAGATAGCTGGTCCAACGGCAACTCTCCGAAGTTCAAACACATTCAAAGTTCCTTCACAGAAGCCACTCCTCCGTAGGTATAATTCAGATAATGCATGTCATAGCAAGATGCCCAGGGCTTCAAGCCTCCTCCTCCACCCTCTCTCTTCCCACCCGCAAAATCTCCGTCTCATCTTGAGCCATACACTCGTCTGTCCAATACCTGTAAATAGCTTACCTGCTCCATAGCAACCTGCTCTATCCGCACTGATTGGTGAAGTAATTGAAATGTTGAGCTTTGGTCGATAGGCTGTTGGTCGACCGAGATTAAGTCGAGCAGTAACATATATACAGTACCAGTCAAAAGTTTGGACACACCTACTCATTCAAGGGTTTTTCTTTATTTTTACTAGTTTCTACATTGTAGAATAATAGTGAAGACATCAAAACTATTAAATAACACATATGGAATCATGTAGTAACCAAAAAAGTATTAAACAAATCAAACCCCTATTACTAGCCTGTTCAACCTCTCTTTCGTATCGTCTGAGATCCCCAGAGATTGGAAAGCTGCCCGCCGGTCATCCCCCTCTTCAAAGGGGGTGACACTCTAGATCCAAACTGTTACAGACCTATATCCATCCTGCCCTGCCTTTCGAAAGTATTTGAAAGCCAAGTTAACAAACAGATCACCGACCATTTAGAATCCCACCGTACCTTCTCCGCTATGCAATCTGGTTTCCGAGCTGGTCATGGGTGCACCTCAGCCACGCTCAAGATCCTAAACGATATAATAACCACGATTGATAAAAGACAGTACTGTGCAGCCGTCTTCATCGACCTGGCCAAGGCTTTTGACTCTGTCAATCACCGCATTCTTATTGGCAGACTAAATAGCCTTGGTTTCTCAAATGACTGCCTCGCCTGGTTCACCAACAACTTCTCAGATAGAGTTCAATGTGTCAAATCGGAGGGCCTGTTGTCTGGACCTCTGGCCGTCTCTATTGGAGTGCCATAGGGTTCAATTCTCGGGCCGACTCTATTCTCTGTGTATATGAATGATTTCGCTCTTGCTGCTGGTGACTGTCAGATCCACCTCTACGCAGACGACACCATTTTGTATACATCTGGCCCTTCATTGGACACTGTGTTAACAAACCTCCAAACGAGCTTCAATGCCATACACCACTCCTTCAGTAGCCTCCAACTGCTCTTAAACGCTAGTAAAACTAAATGCATGCTCTTCAATCGAACGCTGCTTGCACCCGCCCGCCCCACTAGAATCACTACTCTCGGCGGGTCTGACTTAGAATATGTGGACAACTACAAATACCTAGGTGTCTGGTTAGACCGTAAACTCTCCTTCCAGACTCACATTAAGCATCTCCAATCCAAAGTTAAATCTAGAATCGGCTTCCTATTTCGCAACAAAGCCTCCTTCACTCATGCTGCTAAACATGCCCTCGTAAAACTGACTATCCTACCAATCCTTGACTTCGGCGATGTCATTTACAAAATAGCTTCCAACACTCTACTCAGCAAATTGGATGTAGTCTATCACAGTGCCATCCGTTTTGTCACCAAAGCCCCATATACTACCCACCACTGTGACCTGTACGCTCTCGTTGGCTGGCCCTCACTACATATTCGTCGCCAAACCCACTGGCTCCAGGTCCTCTATAAATCACTTCTAGGCAAATCCCGCCTTATCTTAGATCATTGGTCACCATAGCAACACCCACCCGTAGTATGTGCTCCAGCAGGTATATCTCACTGGTCATCCCCAAAGCCAACACCTCTTTTGGCCGCCATTCCTTCGAGTTCTCTGCTGCAAATGACTGGAACGAACTGCAAAAATCTCTGAAGCTGGAGACTCTTATCTCCCTCACTAACTTTAAGCATCAGTTGTCGAGCAGCTTACCGATCACTGCACCTGTACACAGCCCATCTGTAATTAGACCAACCAGCTACCTCATCCCCATATTGTTATTTATTTTGCTCATTTGCACCCCAATATCTCTATTTGCACATCATCTTCTGCACATCTATCACTCCAGTGTTAATACTAAATTGTAATTATTTTGGACTATGGCCTATTTATTGGCTTACCTCCATAACTTACTACATTTGCACACACTGTATATATATTCTCTATTTTATTTTTGACTGTATGTTTTGTTTATTCCATATGTAACTGTGTTGTTGTTTTTAATCGCACTGCTTTGCTTTATCTTGG